TTAGCTATATTTTCCTAGCTGTCTTAATCAAAAAGAGGAATGAAAAAGTGTGCTTGACTTTCAGCGTGGAAATATCATGTTATATATTTATTTCAGTTTAAAGACAATGGAATAGATGACAACTTTTCACATCAAATGAAATTTAAAAAATTGGGGTATTTAGGTTAGGGAAACATGATTATTCACACTGAACTCTATATAAGTGTTGGTACTTTGCATTTTTTTAAATTGCCTGAAGTGTTTAGGTGTCAAAACATTTACTTAGAAATCTAATTGGAAATCTCAGGCCTGTTAACCATGGTCTACATATTTAAGGATCAATTCACTTGTCTATGTGTAATTGCCTAATGTCATTTGAATTACTTCAGGACAGCCTAATTGACCTCCAGCATTCATACATGTTTTTTCTGTGTAGTCTTTGTAATATCTGCCAGCCTACAGGAAATGTCACCGTACTCTAGATATCATAAATAATGTTTGATTGCTGCAGGTGAATCCAGTCCTATCTTCAAAAATAAGGACAACATCCGTGCAGACACTCTCATGTAAATGCTTATATTTACATTTATATTAATGTAAATGTATTTAGATCACATATTTGATTTTTTCCAGTTCTGTCCTGGTTTCACAGGGATAAAATCATATAATCAAGTGATCATAGATCAAGTGAAAGCCAGGGCAGATTACACAAGCTGGCCAGCAGAAGTATTTCATACCATAAATGTCACGCTCACTATAAATTGAGGATGGCCCTCTTTCCTCAATGGTCATCATCCCTGGAGTGTCTCACTCATTATTCTCCTCCTGAGGCCTACTTCCCCATTGAGTGTGACCATTGTGCTTTCGTGGAAGCTATGATGCATCTAGCATTCACTGCTGGGAGTGCACAGCTTGCAATCACTATATAAGCCGAGTATAACTTTGTGCATTATATATTAATATTTGTATTAATATTAGTTTTAAATTATTATTTTGTTAAATCTGTTTCCTATTCAACCCAGACACCTTCTTTCCTCTTCCTGATTCCCCTTCTCATGTGGGGAGGGGTCATCAGGTGATAGAACAACTGGCTAAACAGAGATAACTTCTTATTCTCTGCTGAAGGAAAAAAGTATGATTGTGACTGGTGAACCAAATTGTTCTTAAGGCTCAGCTGACTACCCTGAGCATAACAGTAATTTAGACACTGTACACAGCCAAAGATTAACACTTACATGTAGGTGTCTTAATCTGTAACTGGATCACAGCTGTAGATATCTGATAATCATAGAGAAAGGCTGGATCCACAGAAATATTTGCAAAAAAGTGTATTTGCTTTAACAAGTCTCTCACAGAGGAGTAATGATTCTCCTGACTGCTCTAGTCAGAGCACAAGTATGTTCTATGGCTTCAGTGACATATTTAGTGGTAGTATGGTACTTCCTTATTCATCAGCATCCATGCCAACCAAACATAATGGTAAATGCACATTTAAATAGCTCTAAATTCATGAAGCGCTTAGGACAGTAAAAGCTTCCAAATGAATAATTGCTTCACACAGACAGCTTTTACATCCTAAATTGCTCAGTGGCTGGACTTTAAAATAGCCCATGTTTCTATTAGTTAATCTCTAGGCACTGTATAAAAGGCAACAGACTGCAAAAGGATTCATCTAAGAAATGAATGCAGCACAGTAATAGTGGGAAGGAAAAATCAGAACTGTTTCCTCCTGGGAAGCATTATAAAGGGAGAAAGGAAACAAGTTTCTTGCCTGCAGAGAGTTAGTTACAAACACAACATATTTTTTGTTAAACTACATTTTTGCCATTTCCAATTTAAAATATTTTCAGAAGTTTCCCATGACTTCCCTACAGAACTAAATCCTCATAATATATTCTAATGAAGAAAATCAACATGCAGCACCTGAGGGGTATCATTTTCTTACTTGCTGAGAAGGCATGTTAATGTTAGTGTCAACAAGACTTTTCTTCAATAAAACCAAGATCCTTGAAGATGAGGTAGTACTTTTTTAAAATCCATGTTTAAAACATAATGTAATATTCTTTTCTGCAATGCACTGCATACCTGATCTCTACTATATTTTAAGTGTAAAATTCATTCTGAATGTAAGCATCCCATTGACAGTTTTGTATATGAAATAGGCTGAATACTAGATCAAAGACTGACTACAGGTTTCCATACGGTTTGTACTTTAGCAAACAGAGCTTATGCAGTACATATTTTTCTCTTTTTTTCTTTCTTTTTTTTTTGTTTTCCAAGAAGGGAGAATTAGGAGCTTGTGAATCTGTTCAATATTAAATAATTTTATGAGATAGAAAATTAAAATACAGGACAGCAGTTGTCAGATTAATTCCCTCTGCTTTGATGCACAATAAAAACACAGAGAAACTCTAATAAATGGATTGCATATTTCTTGTTTGTCTGGATTGCAAATTATGAGTTTGCACTTTCAATTCCACTTACAGATGATGAGCAGTTAGGCAACAACCCTGCTTACCTGATTTATAAATGTATAGCGACTAATCTGCATGTCACTTATGGCACTCTTGGCAATATATGCTGTGATCAAAGAATGAAAATATCTGTTACCAGAAATAAAATATCTTCCTTTATATTCAGGTGGGCAAAGCACTAAGTAGTATGTGGATTTGATAATAATATTTAAATCATCTATATTTGCTGACCATATTAAATTCGTATGGTTTTGAGAGATTGTATTTGTTTCCTGTTTGCTGATGTCAGATAAAAAACCAGATGCTTCTTGTTTTTATGTGTACAGTTCTGAGCTCTTGTTTTATTATAATTTTTATTTGTGTGGACTTTCTCTAGGTTATATTCAGTTGGAGGTCGGGATGGAAGTTCGTGTTTGAGTTCAATGGAATACTACGATCCTCACACAAATAAATGGAATATGTGTGCTCCTATGTGTAAGAGAAGAGGAGGTGTAGGAGTGGCTACATGTGATGGCTTTCTCTATGCAGTTGGAGGCCATGATGCTCCTGCTTCTAACCACTGTTCCCGACTACTGGACTATGTAGAAAGGTATCCAATTTTTTATGCATTTCTTGAATACAAAATAATGTTCAGTAGCATCATTTTCTTGACTAAGTGATGGCAAAATAATAAAGATATTTTTACCCCCAGAAGTGCCAAGTAATTATTTACTTGAGAAATTCCATAGAGGTTTATTAGAGACATTAGAGACAATTTACTTGAAGATTATTTTCTTTCTCTTTTTTTCTTTCTTTTTTTTTTAAATATTACACATTCCAGAGAAATAAACTAAATTTTACAGAGCTAAAATTCAGCCTTGAATTTTTTTTATGACACCACATTATGTTTGGAAGTATTTTGTGACTAATAATGTGGCTGAGCAAAGAAGAAATACAGAACTGCTCAAGTGATGGAAATTTACAGTATATGACATACTTCCTTTAGTAACACCACCACTTCCTGATGTGTTAATATAAGCCTTGTACACTGTATTTACAGTACTCTGAATTCTGTAATTGGATATTCTGCAAATTTAAGAATATCTGATAAAGCACTAGGGCACAGTTGGAGCGATTATAGCATTCAATTTGAAGGTACTCTTGAAATGTTTATTGAAGTTTTAACTTTTTTTTCTGTTTTTGTATGCTTTAAAAGAGAATGTAGAAAGTACACTCTCCAAATATGTACGGGCTGAAAGGTTAAAGTAGATATGCTTGAGTAGTTGGTTTATCTTAACATACAAGATAGGTGCTGGGAGAGATTTATCTGTTTATTTTCTGAAGGGGTTAAACTTAAATAAAATGTCAGTTATTGCTGCTGCTGAATCTGGCTTGGCATTTTGCAGTTACCCAATATGTAATCTAAAAATTATAGGACAAAACTTACTCCTTATGTTATCTATATGATTTTTTGATGCAATTGTAAAGGATTTCCTATGGATTCAAGCATTCTAAAATAAAATGTTATGTTTGTCTGCTCTTCACAAGCTGGGAAAGGTAAAATAACTAGTTAAAAGTAAAATAACTATTTCCCTTTTAAGAATTAGAAAAAATTGGAGCTATGTTGGCAGATTTTATAAATTAGCTTTCTCTTCCAAATTTTTCTCAAAACTTGACAGCTATTAAAAACACAAGCAAGTGATCTATAGTTTTCCCTCTTCATCTCACCTTAATTTCAAATCAATTCCTTGCAACATTCAGGAACATTTTTCCACAACCCTTCTCACCCTAGGGCATTCCTTGTTATTATAAAGATGAAAAGTACAGCTGTTTTTAGCAGAAGAAAGGATATAAAAATATCTCAGATATTTTCCTGGCAATTACAAAAAACAAGTTATTAATTTTCTTGACAGAACTGAGTTATAAGAATTAGGTTTAGCCTTGTATACCTGTTTATTTAAGAAAAAAAAATGTCCAAAAAGTCCAAAGCTGTCAATTGTATTTAGTTTCCTTGCTTTTGCACCTCCTCACCTTGGCCCTTATAATTCAAGAGTAATATATCAAAGAGTCTATTGAAATGTATTGCCTTTACGCAGGTGAAGATACAATGCATGCTGGTGCATTTCACTGGTTGGGAAACTCAGCTGGAGGCATATAATGTTGTTGTTGAAAATGCCACACAGCCTTTGAAAACATCCATTCAAAATCATTTTTTTTGGCTTGTTACAAGTGCATTTTCTTTCCACACATTCAAGCATTGTTTTAAAGTATTTTTCACTCAAGTTTTAGAATACATTTATCACATATATAAATATTGGCATCTTGGCCTGTATTAAAAACAGTGTGACCAGCAGGTCCAGGGAGGTGATTATCCCCCTGTACCTGGCACTGGTGAGGCCGCACCTCGAGTACTGTGTTCAGTTCTGGGCCCCTCACTATAAGAAGGATGTTGAGATTCTGGAGCGTGTTCAGAGAAGAGCCACAAGGATGGTGAGGGGTCTGGAGAACAAGCCTTATGAGGAGCAGCTAAGGGAACTGGGGTTGTTGAGCCTGGAAAAGAGAAGGCTGAGGGGAGACCTCATCACCACCTACAACTACCTAAAGGGAGGTTGTAGAGAGGTGGGTGCTGGTCTTTTCTCCCAGGTGATGGAGGATAGAACAAGGGAAAATGGCACCAAGCTGTGCCAAGGGAGGTTCAGGTTAGAGATAAGGAGGAAGTTCTTTACTGAGAGGGTCATCAGAAGCTGGAACAGGCTGCCCAGGGAGGTGGTGGAGTCACCATCCCTGGATGTATTTAAAGAGCGGGTAGATGAGGGACTTAAGGATATGGTTTAGTGGGTAGACAGGAACGGGTGGACATGAAGGGCTCAGAGGTCTTTTCCAACCGAACGATTCTGTGATTCTGTGATTTGACTCAAAACTTCTTAAGGAAAAATAACAAAATAAAAGAATATGAATAAATAAAATAAAGATTTTTTTAAAGGAACTAAAATGCACTACACAATCAGTTTAGTAGATTTTAGATAGACAAAGTTGAACACAACATTTTAGCATCTTGTTTTCTGAGATTTCTCCATAAAGCCAGAAAGATCAGCCAGTAGATAAGCAGAATTTTTTTCCCAAAATGTATTTAGCTGTCAAGAAAAATCTCATCAAGGTTGAAGGGAGTTCTGTTATTGTCAAATTTGTAGGTCATATTTATGAACCAAAAGGCAGTTACAAGCAGAGCACTGTAACGTTGTTGCAATATTAATATTTTAAAAGTTTAAAAATTTCCATTGCTCAAATACAATGTGGGATTCAGAAAGTATTCCTACTAGTTTCTTGTTGAAAACATGAATGCCTGAAATAGCTACAGGTGCTCTTGTTGTCAGCCTTTGTAGTGAAAGCCTAGAATTTTCCTGTTGTAAAACATACATACAACTTTCTGTAGGATTATCAACTTCTAGTTAATAAAGTTTAGACTACAAGAAAATATGTTGAAAGAACTTGACCACCCCTCAAAAACTGAATTTATAGCTAATACTGGCTCTTAAAGGTGTAGGAAAAGAAGTGGTTCAATGCTTAATTTTATAAAACAATATAGTAGTTAGAGGAGTTGTAAATAAATAATATTTTGAGTCATTATAGAATTTCTTATTAATTGTTTTAGAGAAATTATCATGCCCAAAGTGTGGCCTATCTTACACTTAAGCAAATGGATTTGTATCCTTAAGCTGTTTATTTTCTTCACTGAGTATCAAATGATTCTACTTAGTGGAGATGCTTAAGAATAGAAGAAAATAATTCTATCATACTGTGATAGTATTCTGTTTTAGTAATATTTGTAATCTAAAAATGAGGTATCTAATTTAACATAATACTCTAGACATCCTTAGTACTACACTAAATATACTAATTTTTACATTACTTAGTTAAAAAAATTACATGTTATTGAATATCTAAATTAATAGGTTAGGCAAAATTGTTAATTTATAAATTACTATTATTCTACAAAAAGAAATTTTGCCCTCAAGCTTTAATAATTCTATGGTGATTGTGTCTTAAAACAGTACTACTCTCTTCACTTGAGTAATTATCAGGAGGAAAATCTAACTCTAATGCAGTTAGTCATATCCCCTGAATTCTTAAGGAGGTTTTCTGGCGGTGAAAGTTATATACATTGTGTAGTTTAATTTTAGCAATTACAATATAGCATAATAAAATTTAAGATACAATGTTTTTATATGCTGCAAGAACTATCCTATTTAAAATAAACATTATAATATACATGCATCTAGATACTGCTCTTATTTGGTCCTTAAAACTTGTTATGACAAGATACCTCACATAAACCTTAGTTTATTCCAAAAGGCTAGCTGAGCAAAAGTTCTTAATCAAAATTTAGATGTTTGATTGGGAACACCATAAATTTGTATGTTTTCTTTTTTCTGTGAGGAAGAATATTTTTGGATAGGAGGCTAAAGGATCTTTTTTTTTTTTTCCCAGAAAAAAATTACTATATTCAAGTGAAGATCAGCATAAATTGACACTTTTCTTCTTCCTGGACATTGAGTTTCCTTTCTCTTTCCTCAGGTATGATCCAAAAACTGATACATGGACAATGGTAGCTCCACTGAGTATGCCTCGAGATGCTGTTGGTGTCTGTCTTCTTGGTGACAAATTATATGCAGTAGGTGGCTATGATGGTCAAACCTACCTGAACACTATGGAAGCATATGACCCTCAAACTAATGAATGGACACAGGTAATCATAAAGTCTTTTCTTTTTTCTTCTTTTCTTTTCTTTTCTTTTCTTTTCTTTTCTTTTCTCTTTTCTTTTCTTCTTTATGACCCTCAAACTAATGAATGGACACAGGTTCTTTTCTTTTCTTTTCTTTTCTTTTCTTTTCTTTTCTTTTCTTTTCTTTTCTTTTCTTTTCTTTTCTTTTTTCTTTTCTTTTCTTCTTTTTTCTTTTTTCTTTTTTCTTTTTTCTTTTTTCTTTTTTCTTTTATTTTTTCTTTTTTTGTTGTTGTTGTTGTGCGTAAAAGCATTACTTTTCTGAAAAACAGTATAGTTTCTGAGGTTGCCATAGCTGTAAAACTAGCCCTAATATTTTATAAGTGTTATGTCAGGAGTTTCCTCTGAAGACAGAAAAGTGAGAATTAGATGCTAAGAAACAGGAGAAAGACAGAATAAGCACGAATTAGAAATATTATCTTGTTCCCTTTCAGACAAAATTCTTGTTCAGATCAATTTCTATAGTAATTTCTTTTTTCATCTTTCTTCATTCAGAAGAAATGTCATAAAAAGTATAAAAACAGAGCTGGAATTTTAATTGGTAATCAGCATGTCCTGAAGATCCTAAATACTATGATTTGTTTATGTTATGTAGAAAGCCAAGTTTTCATTTTATTCTTCAATTTCATCTTCTTCATTTCCTAATGTTGAACTAATAACAATTACTAGGTATAATAGACATAGTTCTATAATTCCCACAGCATTTTCCTGAAGGATGTGGCTGATCATGGCTTGGACAGGTGTTCTCTTCATTGAGTAAAAAACTGGCTGAATGTTCAGGCCTAAGGACTGGTGGTGAATGGAGTTAAATCCATTTGGCAGCCAGTCACAGGTGGTGTTCCCCAGGGCTCAGTATTGGAGCCAGTCTTGTTTAACATCTTTATCAAGGGTTTGAATGAGGGGATCAATTGCAGCCTCAGTAAGTTTATAGATGACACCAAGTTTGGTGGAAGTGTTGACATGCTTGAGAGGAGACAGGCTCTACAGAGGACAGACTGGATTGGTGGGCCAAGGTCAAATATATGAGGTTCAACAAGGCTAAGTGTTGGGTTCTGCACGTGGGTTACAACAACCCCATGCACCATTACAGGCCTGAGGAAGAGTGGCTGGAAAGATGCCTGGCAGAAAAGCACAGGGGAGTGTTAGTTGACAGCCAGCTGATAATGAGCCAGCAGTGTGCCCAGGTGGCCAAGAAAGTCAACGGCATCCTGATTTCTATCAGAAACAGTGTGGCCAGCAGGAGTAGGGAAGTGATCCTTCCTCTGTACTTGGCACTGGTGAGGCTGCAACTCAAATACTGTGTTCAGTTTTGGGTTCCTCACTACAAGACATTGCACTGCTGAATTGTGTCCAAAGAAGGGCAATGAAGCTGTTGAAGGGTCTAGGGCACAAAGCTTTAAGAGGAGTGGCTAAGGGAAGTGGGGTGTTTAGTCTGGAGAAAATGAGGCAGAAAGGAGACCTTATCACTCTCTACAACTACCCAAGAGGAGTCTGTAGCAAGGTGGGTGTTGGTTTCTTTTCCAGCGAAACAAATGATAGGACAAGAAGAAATGGTCTCAAGTTGCACCAGGAGAGGTTTACATTAGAAATTAGGAAAAAATTATTTCACCAAAAGGGTTGTCAAGTACTGGAACAGGCTGCCCAGAGTGTCATCATCCCTGGAGGTGTTTAAAAAGTGTTATGTTTATGGTTGGACTCAGTGATCTTAGGGTCTTTTCCAACCTTAATGATTCTATGAGTCTATATTCTATAATGCAATAATCTGGGTACTAGCAATTTGTTTGTAGAAGGAATGTACTTTATTTTGTTCCATATTGTTTGGAAAAATTTGGATTCATGACAAAGAAACAAAAAAGAAACAAAGGATTATTTCAACACTTTGTGTTATTAATTCTGGTTTAAGACTTTCTGAAGAAGTAATTTATTCAATCAGTGTAGATGTTTATATCTGAATTAGTCATCTTAAATTCCTTTTAAAGTTAGTGAAGAAAAGTACATTTTTTAAAAGCACAATCTTGTCCTAAAATAAGCATTTAAATTAGGCTAGATGTACTATACTCAAAAATGCCTATTTCTTTTTGATTGTAAAGAGGTGCTGCTGTTGTCAAACTTGTAGACATACATGGTGTAAAGTTAATGCAGAAGCCCATCTTTTTTATCTACTATTAATTAAATGACGGGAGAGAATTTTTATGACATTCTATAGGAAATAAATAAATTTGAAATGTTATTTCCCCATATCCACCAGTCCCCATAAAAAAAACCAAGAATAACCGTGTTTGGGCAGATAGTTAGGAAACATGTAACACCTCTGCTTTGATACGTACAGTATCATTAATTACAAAGTACTATCATTACTATTATTATTAAATATCATACAAGCTGACTCTGCTGTGTTATTTTCAGCAAAATCCAGTCTCCTAAAGTTATTAATCCTTATGTTGTGTTGAATAGTGTCTAAAGCTGCCAGACTTAAAGGACACTTGAAGCTGTTTAGGAATTCTGGACCCACACAATTTTGGTATTGGTCACCTTGACCTTCCCTCAGGGACTAAAGTGGAAGCATTAGCTGCAGCCTACAAATTATACAAAACCCTTCATATATCCAGAGTTCACAAAGTATATAAGAGCTCTAAAATAACCTTTTTTTTCTGTTCTCACACTTTCAAGTGAAAGATATCAGAAGTGAATAATTACCTTTAAAACTACAATACTAGGATATTACAACCTGTATGTATTTGTAGTGGTGTATACACCCATTAGTTTTGACCATTTGAGAATAATGTTAAAACAGCACTTTTGCAGTCTCTTGTATGGCTTGTTCCTCTTCAGTTAATTTGTACCTTTTTTTTTCTGCAGATGGCTTCCCTAAATATTGGAAGAGCTGGTGCCTGTGTTGTAGTCATCAAACAACCATGACTTTGTCAGCACTGCTTAGGATTTTACTGACTGTGGAATTATTATTTTTCTATCAGATGAGAATGATAACTTCATGAGAACAAGGATTTACACATTGAATACTCTGTTGGTCACAAACTTGAGGAAGTTTAGAAGTGAGAAAGATTAAGTATTTATGCCCTATAAAGTAATAAAAACTGTTCACAGTCAGTGAACAAGAAAAAATATCAGGCTGTTGTAGGCATAAGTATATGAACATGGAGTAGTAAGTTCCGATACTGTTCTCATGAATGTGTCCTGGAGAACTGGATAATCAACAGACAGCTCTACACAAGGAACAGGAGGGAATATAAGAACCGTTTTCATGACTGCAAGAGTTTTAACTGCAGAAACATCAAAGTTCATTTATTCACTTTTAAACTGTGTTTTTTAAAAAATAAAAGTAGATGGTAATATAAAATTTTACTGATCAGATCTTGTCTTCAAATAGGTTATGGCCTTCTCATTTGAAGAGTCAATTTGGCTGTTACTGAAGGGAAGAGGTGGAAAAGTCTGGATATTCAAGTTTCATTCATAATGACTGAGCTGTTGCTCTATAGTAGAAAGAGAAACAAAACTAAATGTAAACCTTCAAGATGACTTTTTTTGATAACTTCAGATTGTACCTCCCTGCCAGTTTTAATGCATCCTATAAGTAAGTGAGTGAGTGTGAAGGGGAAGCCTGTGTGTTTAATCTAATTCTACATAAAGCAGTCCTTTGACTGCACTGGAGCTATGTTACAAAAGTGGGAGTTAAAAGAACAATTTCCTAATTCTTCCTTATCTTGTATTCAATTTAAGCATGTGGGCTCTGATCTCACTATTTAATGCATCTTCTGCATGTTGGAAGCTCATGAAAAGCTGGAAAATCAATACTGTTCCTTCACTGCACCATGTAACAGATGAACCACAATCAGAACAGTCTATAGAGTCTTTTCTAACATTTCAAGAAGGATAAAGATACCACATTTTATTTCTCTCTGATGTTCGTACATACACAGCTTTGCCTGATTAGAGCTGCCAATTTATGACTTTCCACTTATGACTCAGAGTAACTGCAAGTAGGGAATAAGGAAAATTAGACCATTTGATCTTATAAAGTTCATATGTTAAATATACTAGTGTCATCTGTGCTTCCCTTTAGGGTTGATAATTTCTGGCAGTAATGATACTTCAAGCTTTTGCTTTGACAGTAGATTTGACATTGATGCTTTCTACCTGCTCAGCTGAATCAGTTAGAATACTAGGGACAGTAACGGAATATGAAATTCTGCTATTCAGGGAGGCACAGGCTCTGGCAACAGGACCACCAAATATATCTCTTCTTTAAAGCCTTGCTGATCCTTTAAGAAACATTTCGTGGTCCAGATGCAGAAATCTCACAGTCCTCTGTCACTAGCAATTTTGGGAAGAAATTTTGGTTGTAGTTAAGAGTTTTCCTAGTGGAAACCTTTGAAATAATTTGAGATTAAAAAAAAGACAGCCTTCTACTGGGGACATTTGATTTGAAGATGTGTCTTTCATCTGAACAGCATCAGCATGCATGAAGATCTTTGTTTTCAGACAAACTGAAGTTCAATTCTGAAGCCCAAGTATACTGGTTTAGATAATTTCATATGCTTCTTCATCCTAATTAGAAATCAGCTGCAAAATCTTCAGTATTGTATTTCCAGTCAGTTGGCTTTTGAATTGCTATTAGTCTTTCTTTCACAGACAAGCATGTCCTTTTTTATCCCAACTATAATGACTTGTTGAATAAAAGATGTTACCTCTCTACAAATTTTGCTTCACATAGACATAAGCTTCTGAGACCAAACCAAGAAGATTCTAGAATGATAAATGCAAATAAATACAGACATTAGCATTCAGTTCTCCTACACAGATAGCTAATGAACTTATAAATTGAATTTTAATTCTATTCCCAGAACTTCCTTTTGATTACACTATATTCATACACAATAGAAATATGATTACCTACATGCCGACCTTCAAAAAAGGATTGCTTCTAGTAATTGCAATTGATGGAAGATTTACTTTCTGTGCTTTGATCATTTTTGTCCTCAATATCCTCAATTTTATCTGTTATTCTAAATTTTCTTTAATATATTTTCTATTTCCCTTTATTTATCTAAAATGAAATATTATTCTCGTGAAATTTTTCATACTCCACTTCTTTTATGCCTAACGAATAAAATTATTAATTTGTTTTATTTAGTTTATGTAAAATCTAGCCAAAATAAGACCTAAACTTTGCTTTCAGATTCTTTTTATACATGTATATCAATATGTTCTGGAGTTTCTTCTAAAGAGAATTTAGGGAGAAATTTTTTATTAAATCTTAAATTTTCATTACCATTGTGTTCACTCTGCTCTAATGATAGTTTTACCTTTGACTTTAAAGATAATGGATTTAAATCAAAATGGTATATAATCTTAATCTTGGTTTCTGTGATCCAGTAAGATTATTTTTTTTGTGTGTATAAGAGTTAAAATTGCTTCTGATACGCTGAATTTTGCTAAACGGTATTACATGTACAGGAAAAGCAGCTATCTTTTCAAAAGATAGATTATCTCATAATTTTTAATCTAGCATGGTAACTTTTTTTATAAATAATCCCTTTGACTTTACAGTATGAAAATCACAGTGGAATCAGATCTGCAGCAAATATTAATTTCAGTGAAACCAATAAATGAATTCCTCAAAATGCTGCTTGTAAATTTGGTAGTTTAAAATTCTAAGTATGTTCAAAACTGTTAGCATTATCTCTATCTTTCCAATTATTTTTAATCATTGTAGCATGCTTTTATTTTCCAGAATATCAATCAGTGTTACTAGAGAGTCTTTGTCTCACATTACCCTGCATTTATACATGGTTGTTATACCCATTTCTTTTCCCATTATTGTCCATCCTTGTATATGAAAAACTTTTGTGTTAATCAAACATAAGTTTGCTGCTACTGGTTTTGAGATATGAGGAAGGTCAAGGACATGAGTGCTATAAAAGCTGTTATTAAATGAATGAGTCTATACAGATTTTTATAGGAAGATGGAGAAAACAATACTGGCAGAATGTGGCCATTATGTCTGGGGATTTATGTTCAAAATCTTGGATGGACACAGAGAAATCAAGCCCATGCTCTTTCTCAGTTTCCCTACTAACTCTTTTAAAATCCATTGGGACATTAAAGGTCAGTGACAGCCAACTGTGATGCAGAATTTTCTTTTCTCCTTTTTTTTTCATTGATTATTTCTTTATTGAGGATAAAATATTTGCTGCCCCTTCCCCCCCAATAAAAAAGTAAAAAGGACAAAAGAAAATACTTGTCTTTGAAGTGCTTATAGAAGCAATACCTGTAAGACAAAATAAGTGAGTTCCTCAGAAGAGGGAATAAACTCATTGATGTTATACCTGTGGCCATGCTGTTAATTAATACAACTATTAAAGAAATCACAGAAGAAATTACATTTTTGCAAGTTTTTTTTAAGCAAAAATTTCGAGAAAAATATAGCATTAACTCTCTGTGTTTCAAATGAATTAGTCTTCCTGATTTAATTCCTCTCAAAATGCTAGATAGACTGTTAGAGGCTTTGTAAATATAGAATAATTCAAATTGAACTCAAGTTTATGGAATTGTTTGTAACCTTGCACTTTTGGACATTGAAGTTATTTTTCACATTTACAGTTTTTACTATTTGCAATGAAGAATGTAAGAAATATAATTAATATTAGTAAAGATCTACACAGAAAAAAATGTCATTTAATGGTCACTATTTAGTAGAGCACTTTGTTGTTGACATTTTGTGGTCCAATTTTATTGAAACCTTGTGCATTGAAATAAAAATCACAAATATAGCAATAAAATCATTTTAAGGTAAGAATATTGCTACTTTGGCTTTAATTATAATTTTTCAATACATATTTGTACATCTGTTTTTGCAATCAAAATACTAATATTGTTTAAAAGCAAAAATAATTGTTAAAAATTCTCTTTGCATATAGAACAGACTATTAATCACATTGGTCACATTATTAAGGCAATTTAAGGATACTTTCAGCAAGCTGCCTATCTCATAATACTATTCTGTTAAGCTAACATTAATGGACATAAGGGAACCATTTGGCATAGACAAAGGATTATTTCCTTGAGTATCATTCTCTTCCACAGAAAATTGCCATCAATTGACTATTATTTTAAATGTACTTATATTAAGGTATATCTCAAGGTAAGTCTCAATATATTATTCATATATTATGTTTAGAAAGCCCAAATAAATTTCCTTGAATATATTTGTCAATTACTTAAGCACTTATCAGTGACTTCAATAAAAATAACTCACAAAAGAGTTTGAAATTATACAAGTCTTAATGACTCAGAACTTCATGTCCCAAAGCAAAGACCAGAAACACTGTGCATTGTGATTATGAATGAAATATATTTTGTTTTGCTACAGAATTGAGACTCTCGAAGTCTTTCCTTATTACTGTGCTCACAACAGACTGGGTATAACAAAATGTATCCTGTTATCTATGACTTTGCATTAGTTATTTCTTTAGGAATAAATAGAGAAGGCATTTCTGCAATGGCTTCAAAAAAGCTCTTGTAACTGTTATCAAATAGCAGTAACAAATTATATGAAAAATTCCATAATATTGTGGGAAATGGATATTTGTCTATGTTCATTTGGAATTTGATAGTAAAAAAAAAAAACCAACAAAAAAAAAACCACAAAAAAACCCAACCAAACAAGCAAAAACCCAAAACAACAACCCAAATATAAAACTATTTACTTATATGAAATTCACAGAGTGGAAAAGGACATGGTCACTTTTTTGTCATTAGCATCTCCCATACAGACATACATACATACGTGTTTAGTTTTATATGCTTACAATCCTATTGCACATTGTCTTTTTCTACAATACTGCTTTTTCCATTTTCTCCCTTCCTCACCCCAGCTTTTGTTTATTTTGCAGAGGGTTTCTACCATTAGGCACATTTTCACACAGAATTGTTTCTGATGAAAGCAGCAAGTATAATAGCACACCATACTGATAACCAGTTCTTTGCCATGCTATATACAAAGTGGATGTGCATGACATAAAAAAGTAAGTTTGAGGTTTTTTTTCCAAAGTAAAACTTTTCTGATATATCTCCAGTCTTTTAAAGATCTGCACATTGAAAAAAGTAATGTAAAGTTTCTAAAAATGTAAATATTTTTAACAGAGAGCTTCCAACTATTCACAGATTATCCATCTTTAAAAACCTGTGTGTTTAGTGATGCACAATTTATCAT